GTTCTGCACAGTATCTGAGCTGTTCCTAGCACTGCACTCTTCTGGACAGAGAGCTGTGATGTTGTTCCTGGGATCTGTTGGCATCACTCTCCCAGCTCAGGAGTCACAGCCCCGAGTGCTCCTACCACCACTGGGACCACTTTGGCTTTTACTTTCCACATCCTCTCTGGTTCCTCCTTCAGGCCCTAGTACTTCTCCAGCTTCTCATACTCCTTCTTCCTGATGTTACTGTCACTTGGCACTGCTACCTCTATCACCACCACTGTTTTCTGGTGCTTGTCTACTACTACAGTGTCTAGTTGATTGACCAGTACCTGCCTGTCCATCTGGATCTGGAAGCCCCACCAGATCTTAGCCCTGTTATTCTCCATGACCTTCTGTGGGATCCCCCATCTGGACTTTGGAGGGTCTAGCCTATACACTGTGCAGATGTTCCTGTACACAATGCAAGTTACTTGGTTGTGCCGTTCAGTGTATGCTGTTCCTGCCTTGCATCTTACAACCACTAAGTATTGGACTGTCTCTGAGGGCTCTCTGCACAATCTGCACCTTGGGTCTTGTCTAGTGTGGTAGACCTCTGCTTCTATGGTTCTGGTGCATAGTGCCTGTTCTTGTGCTGCTATGATCAGTGCCTCAGCACTGTCTTTTAATCCAGCCCTTTCCATACACTGGTAGGATTATAATTAGCATTTATATTCTCCATCTCTCCTTGTTTGCATGCCTTCACATTTGGTATACATTTTTATGTCTGTATATACATGTTTCCCCATCCCTCCCTAGGCACTATTCTCATGCAGATTTTCTTCCAACTGTTCTTCCCTTCAAATAGCAGAATGTTCCATTTTGTCCTGAAAGCTACTTGAGCTCTACAGAGCAGGGTTGTGGGTGGAAGTTACTGTCTTGACTTTGCTATTTGTGACATGTGCATTCTGTAAGATGATCAAATACATACAGTTATTAGAAGAAGGACATCTCCAGGATGGTTTCAGATCCACTTGGCAACTCTAGGTTGACAAGCTATGGAAAGTGAACACTGCATAGGACTTTACCTGTATTTTCCCCTTTCCTATCAATTCTTGTTTTGGGTGTGATAATCTTAAATTTACTAGAGCTCTATGATTTGGTGATTTCTGGTATGGCATCTAGCATATCATTCAGTTTTATTCGTGGAGGAGTGGCACAAAATCATTTATTTTACAGGGCCATGGCATCACAACATTTGAGGATCTGTAGTTTAAGCAGTTATATGCAGGTAGTTTGAACTTTTAATTAACTACATTCCCAAGTAGGTAGGACTTCAATTAATCAACTTTATTTCAATCAATGACTAGATTATAAGCAGACTTGTGGAAACAAACTTAAGAGTAGGGGTGTGAGGAACAGTAGCAATAAGATATTTTACTATTTGCATTAGTAGAATTGTAAAGTAATCTATTTGGTTTTTTTTTAAATTTATTTGCAAGGGTTTTTAATCCACATTTTCATGTTTCATAATACACATAACAATTACATAAGTCATGTAATTACTAAGGTACATTTTCCAAGAAAACCCATCGCTTCCATTGGATGTAATTAAAAGGGAAGGCAGTTTTGGGAGACATTCACACTGGTGACAAGCCAGTCCATATTTCAGATAGCTGCTTTTATCAGTTTTATGTCAATATTAAAAGAGAGTATATTCTGCATAGGAAAGAGGAATAGATTCAGCTAAACTTATCATCCTGGATGCTAATGTCACAGCTAATGAAGAAATACATCTTTTAAAAAATCAAATTATTTCCAGTGAAATTTGGGGAAAGTATATATTGTATATTCTGCTATCTTATGTATAGTTCTTTAACAATGTCCTCTAGCAAAATAGAGAACTAGATATCATTCACTCTGTTAATGATATGTAGTTCTCTAATAGAGCTATTAATATATATATGTGTGTGAGAGAGAGTACATTCAAGTATACGTGCAAATATTAGTGGATTTAGGCATCATTAATAGAGAAAACAGATAATTTTGCTAGTAAATAGGCTGGCAAATTGTGGATTTCATAGCACTTTCTTTCTCCAAATTGCATTGAACATAATTTGGTTTCTCTTCATGTATTCTCTGATTATGTTGATACAAAGTAAGAGAAAGTAAAGAGTATTAAATTTTGTTAATATGATTAAAAATGCTTATTTCCCTGAGGTAAATTTAGGAAGCTATTAAGCAGATATAACAATTAAGATTTATTTAATCATTCATTCATTAGGAATTTTCTGCATTCAAAACTGGGAATTCCTAGGCATTCCTCTTTTGGAAACTGATTCCAGTACTTCCTATTAGGAATCCAGGATGGAAACAGTATTTTAACTATACAAGAATATAGATGACATCCATTATGGGTACCTGCACAAATAATTGGGGAAAGATCTGGATGGACTGCAAAATGTATAATTTCACTCCCTGAATCTTTTTATTCCTTCTTCCCCCTTTTAGTTAAATTAAAATTCTCCTTGTTTTCTAAAGTAATCACTATGACTACAGGTATTCCTCAGTTTAAGAACGAGTTCCATTTCCAAGGTTTGTCCTTACGTCGAATTTGTATATAAACTGGAACAATATTATTGTATAAGTATTATTGTGTAATGAAATGGAACCATTGTGCATTTAACTTGAATTTTGCTACAACAGGCTCCATTCTTAACTATGGATCATCCTTAAACTGGGCATTCTTAACCCGGGGACTACCTGTAGTCATAATGATTATTTTAGAAGACAAGGAGAATTTCCATCCCTGCACACACCCAAGTAATTCAAGTGCTCATTTGTCAATTACACCATCACGTGCAAACATTTGGGCACCCCTGTTCAAATTGTATGTTTCAAGGAATCCTTCAGGGAACAGAAGCTAGTAGCACGTTGATGTGGCATAGAGTTTAACATGAAATCTTTCTGCAAATTTGAATGCATCTTAACTATTTTGGACATAGATCTCAAGCTATCATAGTTTTCATGAAAGACTCATCCTCAGAAGATGGGGTGGAGCCAGTGGAGGCCTTGAAAACCAATGAATATATTGAATCGGGGCTCAGCAAGAAAGAAAGAATTGGCCCCTTTAACATGATATTGGTGGCCAGAATTTCTCAGAGTGACAGGAGGCCTGGAAAAGCGATGGTACAGCCAGGATGAAAAAGAAAGAGGCACAGAGAACAAGATTTCAAGGAAAAGCTCCCTGAAAATCATGGCCTGTTTGAGAGTCACTACTGTTACTGAGTAGACTTGCATTCTACATTAGCTGCATGCACCGGTGACCACAGTGAGGGGATTAAAAAAAAGGCAAGATGGCAGCTGTGACCCGTTATTGAAGCCCCATTATTTGTTTACATGTGTTATGCATATTTGCATGCATGGGATGGGGCTTGGGGATCACATGCTTGACTTTTTGACCTCCCCTGTGGAAACCCATGGATGCAGGCCAGCTATGTTGGGGGTGAAAGTTTGAAGCCTGTTGTATAAAGCTATCTGTGGAGGGTAACAATGCTGGAAACAATATTAATTACTTGCATACTTTCATGACTAGCAAGGAATGCCCTGAATCCTTGGATTACTTTCTAGAAGCCTGCTGTGGACCCTTGGATTGACTGCTTATCATCCAACCTGGTTTATATTTGTATTTTCTTGTGCCTTTGGAATGGAACCTAGATTACTTGCTTCGCTGACTCTGCGATTGTTACTAGGTTATCTTTTTTATGAAAACAGGAGAAACAAGAGTGGAAAATATTTTTCTTATTTTCTACCTTTCTGTCTAGCCTTCTTGCTGTGTGTTGACTGGGGGATATTTTAGCTGATGCATTCAGTGATTTGCCATCTTTATTTCTGGATGGGGTGACATTAACCCATACAAAACTGGTACACAATTTCCAAGTTGGACTTGCAGCTGCTGTTTGAGGAACAGGTGGCAGCCATGGCCAGGAGGCCTTTTGCACAGTTACAACTTGCCAATTGCACCCTTTCCTTGATCAGGAGGTGCTGCTCAGTCACTTATGCCTTGGTCACCTCTTGAGTGGAATACTGCAACACACTGTATGTAAGGCTGTCCTTGAAGAGAATCTGGAAGCTTCAGCTTGTCCAGAATGTGGCAGTGTGGGCAGGTATGAGTGCTGCTTGATACATCCATGTTACGCCTCTGCTCTGTAAGCCACATTGGCTTCTAATGTGCTTCCAGGAGCAATTTAAGATACTTCATGTCACGTATATATAGCTCTTCATGGCTAAGGGCAAGGTTACTTGTGGGACCACCTCTCTGTTTCTACCCACCCCACTAGATTCTACAGAAGAGGCATACTCCAGGTCCCATCTATCAAGGAATATAATCTAATGGGACCTAGGAAGTGGGCCTTTTCTGATGCAGGGCCTGCCCTCCCCAAGATCCAGTTAATCCTGATTCTGCTGGCATTCTGGAAAGCCTTAAAAATATGACTGTTTTCTTAGGTGTGCGGGTCAGGATGGGTGGTATTATTGTGACTTCTTGTCCTCAACAGCCATTATATGTATATTTATTGTTATTGTTCTTGGTTGATTTACTAAGTGTTAACTTTATCAGCTACCAGGAGTCACTGTTGTGAGATGGGTGGCTATATAAATTGATAAAAACAAAGAAATCTGCTTTAGTTATCCTGAATCAATGGCTGGCTTGTTTTATCTCACCTCCTGGTGTAGCCCAAATTTATGCTTATGTACTGTGTGGTGTGTAGCTGAGATTTTAATAGATTGCCAAATCTCAAAAGGGTTTCATGATTTTGTTCCTGCAATTATATAATATCTTGTATGAAACCTTCCAAGATTTGGCAATCTTGCAAGATTTTGAATATTCTTTATAAAAAAATAATATAGGAGACTGTTGTTACCACATATGATACTGATGTGCTCAGGGGCACCACATTGCTGACCATAGGTTCGTGTGACATGTGAATCCAGCTATAATATGTGATGAATTAGACTTTGGTTATTTTAGTTTAGATTTTTTATAACAAATTATAGTGGTATAACTGATAATAATGTACTACTATTTTAAACATTTTTCTAGGGTTGGCCCTTTTCCAGAGTAGATGAGAAAATAACCTTACATTGAATGGTTGACTAATATATGATTTGACTAATATTTTCATTTTTACAACATGTACTTGTAATTTCTAATGCAGGAAGAAAAATAAATGTCTACATTAGTTTAGTCAATCAGTAGTTTCAAATTCTTCTGAAGTACCAAGAGTTAAGATATATCTTTCTTTTTTCTGCCAGGAGGAATTAGCGATGAAGTCATCTGTTCAATCCCTGAAAACCGGAAGGGAAAGGACCTCCTCAAAATTCCATACGAGCTGTATGGGACCTGTCCCCCTACAGCTTCTCACGTTCACCACGTTTGTTGGCATCACAACTCTGAGCATAAAGGTTCTGTGAAGCACACCCACCCCAGTGAATATGGAGGAAATAGTACCCGCGCAAACTGTGAACCTAAATCAAAGCCACGGCCCGCTAGCTTGCGTCATTCAGTTGCCACTGTGGCTATAACTGGTGTTGTCTGTGGGATCATATGCCTCATGATGTTGGCTGCTGCAGTGTATGGCTGTGCCTATGCTGTAATTACAGCAAAATATCACCAGGAAAATTCATACCCTGGCAAGGAGCAGGGGAGTTGTGAAGAAAAAGAGCCATTTGAGAATTCATTGGCTTGAGTTTCTGATGGCTCTGAACTACCCGAAGGAAATGTGGTTGTGGTTCTTCTTTTCGCTAGTACAAGTAGCGTATTGAAATAGGTTTAATGTATCCTGAGGATTGATTTTCTTTGTACATGAATATTCTTCAGCACAGAAATATTGTAACATGTAATGTTTGATATTTACCTGGTTTATTCATAGTGTTTTAATCCTGTTTACATATGGTAGGATTGTAAACCTCTTGGAGTTGGTGAACAATTGGAGCAACATATATGCCTAGCAAAATAAATAAATAAATTTGCCCTGGTCTGATTCTTTTTCATATTCCAGAGTGTTTTCACGTAAGCCTATTCTTATAAAGAATCTCTTGAAATGGAAAGAAAATAGGCCAAGCACATCTCTGGATCAACCATATATTGTATTAAAATGGAGTTAACAGGTAGATAGAAATAGAGACAGAGATATTGGATTTTCTCTCCCATCCCATGAAGGGTGTTTAAATCTTTCATTCCTGGCCACTTAATAAATCTATTAGGACAATGTTGTCCAAACTTGGCCACTTTAAGAAGACTGGACTTCAGCTCCCAGAATTCCCCAGCCAGCCATGCTGGGGAATTCTGGGAGTTGAAGTCCACTCATCTTAAAGTGGCCAAGTTTGGACAACACTGTATTAGGAGGAAAGATGAAGCCCTCTCTGTTCCTTTCAACTGTTTTTAAAAGCCTTTCTGAGCTAGGTTTGAAAAGTGACTTTGAGGTCCTGCTTAAGGTCTTCTACCAAAACTTCTAGTTTAATCCCTAAATCACACCCTAAAAGCTTGTTGATCAGAGAGAAACAAGTTAATAACCATAAATGAACTTCTGAAAGTAAAGTTCTTTTGGAACTACAAATCTCAGACAATCAGACAGGCAGATTTCCAGACAGGTTGGACAAAATGAGAAACGCTACTTAACTGACATTTCTGTCTTGTTAACTGGCATGCACAATGAAAAGAAGAAAGGGGATACATGTATGGGCAGAGCAAAAATTACTTTAAAATAAATGTAGGGTTTTCTTTTTTAACCTAAGCTACTCATAGTGGTTAGTTTAATTTTTTTCCAGATACCAATACTCAAAAAGTATTAGGGATTCAGGAGGCAAATCCTGGAATGCTGCAAGCCTTCTTTAATCAAGTTCTGGGAACCAAGCAACCAGCAGCAGTTGCAGAAACAAAACAGTTGTTATTATTCCATCTGCTAGGTCGCACTCTCCTCTGTTTCTAAGATGTATTTAGTTTCCAGAGAGAAATTAAAGAGAGAGGGAAAAAAAAACTCTTCCCAGACCTCAGTGCAAATTTCAAAGTACCGGGATGTTACTTACTGGTTCTGTTACTGGGAATATGCCTAGTATTATTAAAGGGGAAGGAGAACCCATGGATCTCAGAGATGAGAGGTTCATGATTTGGCAGCCACAGTGGTTGGGTGGTAAGGAAATGAATTTCCCAGGGTCTGGGGAAAGGAAGCCGGCAGCATCTCTCTCGGGTGGGCTTATCTAAGTAAGTGTCAAGGGGCACCTTTATAACAACTCTTCTGTTTTCTTCTTTATCTCGGAGTTGCCAACAAGCAAATCCAACAGGCTGGATTTGGGTACCGCAATTAATATTGCAACCTTTTGCATACCAGCTCTGCATTATGCATGGCTTTTTGGGGCGCCCTTCTTTCAACATCCCCATTTCTATTTGAGCTTCTGTTTTTCAAAACCTTGGTTTATAAAGAAGCAACACCATAAACTCCTATAAGATTGCACATTTACGATGACAGCCCATGGATAGCACCACAGACAACTACTTTGCAATAATGTTTACTAACATTTCAACCTTCTAATGTTAATTAACATTAACAAATGAAAAGCCTCTATGCTGAAGCATAAGATATTTAATGCTAAACTAGAGACAACGAAGTTGAAAGTCACCATGTGTTGTGAGTTCTGCAAGAACCACTAATTATTTCCCATCGCTAAACGTCCTGGCCAACTTGCCAGCAAGTTCCTATTTCCATTTGCAATAGTGAGGGAGGGAAGCCACCCAGATACACCTTAGGACAGAAGAAAACAGCTGTGCTATTGCCATTACAGTCCTTTCCCTGGAGAAATTAGATAACTGTCCCTTCCCAGCTTCTAACAGGATAAATCATTATGAGAGGTCACTTACATGCCTCTGTGTACAAAGGACAACTACTACAATGAATCAGAAAGCATATGATTAGTACAGCCAATCAGTGTGCAACTGGAGCCTTAGAGATTGCACACCAAAGTCAGGAAAGAGGCTATGCAAACAGACATTTATAAGCACATATGAAAACAAAACCTTGATGCAGATCAGATTGCTAAAAAAGGGAATACTGAACTCTCAGCCACCACCTACCAATGTTGCAGCTCCTGCTGAGGTTCTGGAAGGTGCTGTTTTTCCAAGATCCAGTGCTTAATGCTGAAGCCACAACACTGGACACTGTAAATTTTGTACCAGGAGGGCTCTGTCTATGATCACTGGATCATGCAGGAAGAAGCCTATTTCCTAAATGACTTTGTTCCCTGTAAGAATGAGGAACCACAGAGCCTGGCCAGTGCAACAAGGCAGAATATCACCAAGTTCCATGGGTCTTGCAGACAGATCACATGGCCTTGCATGAAGGTAACAACAGCTGCAATGTTGGTAAATCATAGCAGGCAGGAAAATGGGAAAGGTGAAGGGTTGGGGAGATTATGGGCATTCATAGTGAGTTGTACCAAAGGTCCTGGAAAGTACATTTACTGGTTCATTTAATCACCAATTAGCCACGGAAATAAATATCCCCTCAGAATGCTATTCAATGAAGTTACATAAGGAAGAAGACACCTGGATTTTTTTTCCCCAAATTTCAGCCTCTTGGAATGAAAAAGCAGGAATTGAATCAAGGCTTGTGATGGAAAATTGAAATGGAGATGGGGAGATAATTGTTAGATAACTTTGCACAGTTCTATTTTCAAAAAAAGGCATTTTACAAAATCCCCTTATCAATGTTTAATCAATAAATGTAGCACCCTCTGGGTTTTCTAAATGTAATTTTAGTTTCATTGTACTCTGGCAAACTATACTGGTTTCAAAGAACAAGACAGACAGTTCTAAGTCACTGACATGGCAGGGAAAACACCTGTTGTTCTCACAAGCCAGTGCATCTAATTATATGTTATTTTCCTCTGTGAAAGGAAAGTGTTTGATGACACTCCGACCAGATGATCAGCATGCTCTCACAGCGAAAGAGACTTGGAGCATCTACTAATATGCTCACCTGGCTCTCCTGTTCTTTAAAAGATCTCACTTCATAAAAGATATCGTTACTTTTGTTCTCTCTGAAAGGTATGCTACTGTTAATTAAAATCTACATACGTACTCTTAAAAGCTATTGCAACTGTACTGGCTTGTAAATACATTTCTGACAGTAATTACTACTGTGTAAAGAAAAAAAAATTTTTTTTCACACAGCTTTTCAGGTTCGGGTTCAGCTCTTCATGCACACACAGAGTTAGTTGTTTGTGTCTGTATAAAATGTGGCTATTTGCTCTGAATGGCTAACAACAACAACACCCTGCATTGTGAAAGTTAGACAATTAGACTGACCACTAAGCTCATCTTGCCTTTTTAACCAAGTTAAAAATGTTGCCTCAGTGAAACAGAAGTACTTCAAAAGATAGGTCAAACAAAACCATTTTGAGAATGCAAATAAGCTAAGAAAATAGTTTCAACTGGGAGACATCTTAGACCAAGCTAAATCCAAAAATGCGAGGGAATTCCTGGAAGCTTGGTATTCAGACAAGACAGCCATCAACAGGCACATAGAGATAAACAGCAT